TCAAATAGTTACTATAATAGTTAGTAAAAACGTGTCAAATAGTTACTTAAATAGTTACTTATAAATTGGTATATTAAGTCTAAAAATTATTTTAAATGCTATGATTCGTTAGTTTTAATGTTTATTATATTAAATATAAATTTTTTTCAGTTAAATCACTCAAATTTGACTAAAATAATAAAGAATTTGTCGTATTGTGTGGTATTAGTGCCGATCAACAACACACTAATAAGTATTTTCGCAATTTTAATGATGTAAATAAAAAACCTAAAATCAAAACTTCTAATATTTCGCTTTCTTGCCATTTTATATTTATTTTTATTACTAAAACTCATTTGTGTTTCAATTTTATTTCAATTATTTTGCTTTATAGATAAAAATCCGCTCAAATTTGGTAAATAGTTGAAATAGTTAGTTACACATCAAATAGTTATTTATAGTTAAAATAAAAGTTTGCTAAACTGATCCTAATGACATGATCGGTGGACATACTAACTCTCAGGCTAACACTATTTACCGCTAAAATAGTTACTATAGTTAAAATACGATGCTTTGTACATTACAAATCAATTGTCCATTGCATGCTATGCCCAAAATTAGAATTCATACGGTTTATAATGTAGCAAGGTTTATTCAAAAATAATCATTCAAAAAGTATAATTTAATTAAGTTTAAAAATGTATACTTTAATTGAAATGCTACGCTCTTGAATAAATTTATAATATACTTTTATATGTTTTTATTACCACATTGTATTATTGAATTAATTACAATGTATTAATGATTGTATTGCATTACTATTCATTAGAAGAATATATCAAAACTATTATAACATAAATACATGCAAAATAACTATTAATTTATTGTGAAACTAACTAGATTATGTTTTACCATGAACACTATTCTTATTAGCTCAAATAAAAGTTTATTCGTATAATAACCAATATGGTTTTTGTGACTTATTTTGCACATAGGAAAGCATTACAACTTACCAAATACCTTGATAAGTTAGTGCCCTGTGGTTCCCTCTAAAACATATCGTGTAAATGCATTCAAATAGAAAATAGATATTAATATAGCTATTTATTTTCATGCAAATATATTTCCAGATAAATATAAATAACATTACATTGTATATTAAGAATAAAAATTATAATACCATATATTGAATCAAAAGTACCTAAATTAGTGCAATTGAACAACAAATTAATGATGGTAAATATTTTAAATAGTACTTTATTTACAAGATAATGAGTGTAAGTATTTTAGAAATACATTGTTTTGTTTGTTATTACTTATGTATTTTACAAGTTGGTTGGTTTGAAACTACTTATAATTTTAAAATCTATTATAAATAATTAGTTATTAAGAAGAATATAATTTTAATGGATCTGATTAATTGTTCGCTGACATTACCACAATCTCTTCAAATTAATCCTCAAAAGGAAAGTGAATTGTTTGGCATTGGATTAAGTCTTAAGCCCAGAATTAATTCTTCATCGCGACGTCCACTAGTGTCCAAACCGGTGGTCAGTTTCATATTTCCCATCATATATCTGGTTAAAAACATTGCATTGCTATTAATACCCGACGAATACAAATCCATTCATATAATATTCGGCGATTGGAGTCCATTAGTGGGCATTGGATTACACTTTAAAGTCGTGGCCGCCCTCTGGTCAGCGCTACACGTGTCCATACATTTGACTTATTTTTATAATTATTTGACTGGTGTTGAGCCGACATTTTTGCAAGTGTTTGATATGATGTCCGGTTTGATTGCACCTAAAGAGATAGGTTTAACGGATCCCAAAAGTGTACAACAATTACTACAAAGATCTAAAATATGGTTCAAAGTTAACAATTTTATTGTTAAAAAAACAACACCATGTTTAGGCCTCATATGTGTGATACCATACCTCGTATACCTACCCCTCGTGCCGGCCCTCGTCTACGGCATACCCAACACTATACTCATTGGGTGTATTGCTTATTATAACTACGGTATAGCCGTCTGGCAATTGAATTACTTTTATATTCTGTGCTATTATTTAAAGCTTAAAATCCGTGCTTTAAATGAAATGTTAATCAATACAAAACAATCAGATATTCAAACAATGCGAACACTTTATGAATTAAACTCTTTATACAATGAGATAAATGAATACAACATTAGTTTTATGTCAAAATATTTACTATCCGTTTGGCTATTCATGGGATCAGTTGTAACATTAGGCATATTTATCCTGGTATTTGCCACCTATCCTTTGGTCTTGCATTTGGTGATGACATACGTTGTGGTAGTGATTGTCCTCCTCTTCCTCACCATTATCTTCACCGCCTCTTCGGTCACATCCGAAGTCAACAAATCATATAATTTACTAAATTCACTGCAAAGCGTGAATAATCTTAACCACAAATACTTCATTACAAGCTTTAAATGTTGTGTGAATTCAAACAATGTATAAAGTGATGACTTTTATGAGAAAAATATAATTAATTTAAGAAAGTAATTTCTTATTTCTATATTACTGTTATGTTAAATTATTAACAGATAATTGATTTTAAATTGTAAATGCTCTAACTGACCTTTTAAAATAATTATCATACAAACAAATATTCAACATAATATGTAATTTAAATACTATAATTATTTTTAAATTAAACCTAATTATGCATCAAATCTTTTAGCTATATAAACAACCCCAAAATTTAAATACCATGCTAAATTTTAAATTAGGCTTTATGGTTTTACTCTGAAACATGTTGTGTTTATCCTAATTTATAAATGCATTCAAATAGAAAATAAATATTAATTTTTTTAATGCAAATAAAATTTTAAATAAATGTAAATAACATACGTATATTAAAAATAAAATTATTATAATATCATATACTAATTCGTGAGTAAAAAGTACCTAAATGTTAGTGCAATAAAAAATCGAAAAATAATTACAGGTACAATAAAATAATAATGGTAAATATTTTCATTAGTATTGTATTTACAATATAAATGAGCTGGTACTTGAAAATTAAAATATTTTATGTTGTATTGCTTATGTACAAGTTAAAGTGCAAAAGAACATTTTAAACTCAATTATAAATAAATTGTTATGCAAAATATTATTTCAATGGATTTAATTGATTGTTCACAAAAATTGCCAAAACATTTTCAAATCAATCCTCAAAAGGAGAACCAATTGTTTGGCATTGGATTAAGTCTTAAGCCCAGAATTAGTAGTTCATCGAGACGTCCACTAATGTCTAAACCGGTGGTCAGTTTTATATTTCCGGTCATATATTTGGTCTCAAACATTGTATTACTATTAATACCCGACGAATACAATGCCATTCATATAATACTCGGCGATTGGAGTTCATTAGTAGGCATTGGAATGCATTATAAAGTTGTGGCCGCCCTCTGGTCAGCCCTACACGTGTCCATTAATGTACTTTTATAACTATGTGACTGGTGTTGAGCCAACATTTCTACGGGTGTTTGATATGATGTCTGGTTGGGTCGCACCTACTGGTGTAGGGCTAACAGACCCGAAAAATGTCCTACAATTACTACAAATATCCAAAGTGTTGTTTAAAATTAACAATTTTATTGTTACAAAACTCTACCATTTATGGGCTTAATATGTGTCATACCATACCTCTTATACCTACCCCTCGTGCCGGCCCTCGTCTGCGGTATACCCAACACTATAGTCGTCGGATTTATTGCTCATTATAACTACGGTATAGCCGTTTGGCACTTAAATTACTTTTATATTTTATGCTATTATTTAAAGCTCAAAATCCGTTCCTTAAATGCAATGTTAATTAATACAAATCAATCTAACGTACGGAAAAGAGTAACCTTTTATGAACTAAACGCTTTGTATAATGAGATCAATGAATATAACATTAGTTTTATGTCAAAGTATTTACTATGCGTTTGGCTATTCATGGGATCAGTTGTAACATTAGGCATATTTATCTTGATATTTGCCACCTTTCCTTTGGTCCTGCATTTGGTAATGACATACATCGCGGCAGTGATTGTCTTCCTCTTCCTAACCATTATCTTCACCGCCTCTTCAGTACAATACGAGTTAAATAAATCATATAAATTGCTTAATAAACTACAAGTAGGGAATTTATCAGGGACTTTAATAGTTTGAGTTAAAAACCAGATTAAGTAAATGTTAATTTATTGAACTATATTTTTATATTTTCATTTGATTATGAATTAATTAATAGCTAGTTGTCAGTCATGACTCATGAGACACAAAATAAGGACATATTTTAGGTTTTATATCAAATATTTCGCTCAGAAATAATGTAGAGTTTTGCGGATTTCCACTCGATTTTACTTTACGCTGTCTTTCAGTCAATACGTGTATAGTGTCGATGAATTTCATGAGTTGTCTGTATTTATGTAAAATTTTGTTCAATTCTGGGCCGTATTTCAAGAGTAAGTAGCGTTTCAATAAATACATGTAAACGTACTGCTGAAATCTAGATGAAATATAATTTAATTAAATGTACCGTAAGTTTTGTTAAGTCATTAAGTTAGTCTGAAATATTTGATGGTAAAATAAATATAAATTTTAAATGTAATTAATTAAGTTAATTAATTGAACACACGTACTTTACTGTGTCCCTGTGCTCAAGGTTCGGCCTTTTGGCGTTATATAATACAATGCCGGTTAACTAATGATTTATTTTAACATGTTAATTTTAAGTAATTAATTGAATATGTTAATTTAGCATTTTTAAAATTAATATAGCTTACTAAATCAATAATAAACCTGTCATTCTCCCACTCCCAGCAAATATTCTTGGTATAAATTAAATGGGCTTCATATAAACTTGGTGAGTATTGTTTGAATATATCCAACGATAATTTCATCGAACTGTTTTCATCCTGATACAAAATGGAAAGCATAAAAATCACCAGTCACAATTTAAAATTATTATAGTTGTCAATAATTTTATTGCTAAGTCAAACATCAGCTACTACTCACAATGAATATATTCCAATAATGCTCATGCTGGTCAAAATAAAGAACCGAGCGCATATTGATAATCTCCACAGCGCCGTACTTGATCAACGCCAACTGGTCATTCTGGCAAAGGTGATTAAAATAGGGCAGTCGTCGACAAAACGAGGTCACATTTCCGATCTCACGCTCCAGTGTATAACAGTTCATACGCTTAAGATCGCCAACACAATTAAATTGACCATGCATCGGGTTGAGCGGGATCATTAGTTGATTGCTAGCTCCGATTAGCTCGGTGAATACACGGTGCTCGTGGTCGGAAAAATTGTCCCTGCTCGTCGGCGGCCGTATTATTGATATCACTCGCATGGCGTAAGAATATTGATCATGTGCTGTATTATTAGCATCAAATGTGTAGTAGAAGTTATTTTGATGGTTGTTATTTTGGTCCCGCATAACGGGTACTACTTCTAGGGATAGATTCCTGGAGTTGTCCGCACTAGTCTCGCAGCTGTCACTCGTAGTGTTGGTTTTGGTTGTGTTGTTTGTATTAGAAAAACGTGATCTATATTTCTATTTTAATAAATTTTTAATTATTTATTGCTGTTATAACTAGTTTATTTACTATTAGTGATTTACCTTGTGCATACCAATGGCCATACATTTATCAAGTCTACATTTAGAGCAAAACTTCCTAGTTATAGGTGTTATGTGACACATGTCACCAAAATTACAGGCGAATTTCTGTATTATTTAAAACATTATGATCTATTCGTATAAACATATTATTAATAAGTTATAACAATTGCATACATTGTTTGTATCCCTGTATCTCATGAAAAATATACGACACGATTCACACGTAAATGAGCCAAAGTTTTTGCCTAATAGTAATCATGTAAACATTTTAAAAATTATTGTAAATATTAATTATTAGTTAACACAAACTCATACCAATAGCCCGATCGCCGCACACTTCACAAAACATTTTATTAAATTATTATTAAAACAGTTATGAATTAATTAGTAAATATTTACAAATTAAATAAACATAACATTTAACAAGCTACAACACTGGGTTGAACAGTTTAGTCACGTAAAACATAATAATATATTTTATGTAAACATATTGTCTAATTTTTAGACTCTAAAACTTGTAACACAATTAAAAACAAGATTATTTTCACCAAAAATATCAAAACAATAAAAACTAAATGTAAGTTACTAGTTAAAGTTAGATAAATGATTTGCGTTAATAACATAAGATATAAGTAACTGCCATAAGCACATTTAATTATCAGAATTTTTATAATGATAATTATTGATTAGATTATAGAGTACGTAATAGACATGCAACTAAATTTCCCTTTTCCCTCTTCCCTGCAGGGATTCCCTTTTCCCTTAAGGGAAAAAGAGGGAAAGGGAATGAAAAATGAGTGAAGAGGGAAGGGAAAGGGAATCCCTCTTACACAGAGAGGGAATCCCTTTAACAAAATTTCCCTTATTTTCCCTTTAATTCCCTGTAATTCAAGAATAGTTTTTATAACAAATTATTTATTTAAAATATACAAATATGTAGGGTATTGTCTATAAAACAACATAACATACTGTAAATGCAATGCATTGTATTTTAGTGAAAACACGCCTTAATATCATTATTTGCTGTGATTTTTAAGGGAAAAAGAGAGAAAAATAATTAAGAGGGAAAATAAGGGAAAAAGAGGGGAAAATAATTAAGAGGGAAAATAAGGGAAAAAGAGGGATTCCCTGTTGCCTGTAGAGGGAAGG